AGAATGCTGAAAAATCGAGCACTCGCAACAAAAACAAAAAAGCCACTGCGAAGCTCCCAGAAAAGCTAAACCAATTAGCGAAAATCGTAAGACTGAGGTTTTTTACTATGCATTTTTTGCAGCTATGCAATGCGGAAAACGCATATTGCCAAAGGGTGTGTGTGTGTGGGTGTGTGTGCGTGCGTGTGTGTGTGCATCTGTATGTGCACCCGTACCAATTTTCATCTCCAGACCTACAAATGCTACAAAGCTGAAATCTTGGGAACATAATCTACATGCATGTACGGGCCTCCACCCCAAAATGAATACTCTCGCTCACATGGGACCCATGAAAGTTTTTTGCAGGTAAGCTGCTTACACGAGAATCTGAAAAGCTAGAAAGCTGGAATTTTAAGGTGATGTTCGCCGTCCCTGCAGAATTTAATGCCATCAAACCTAGCCCACAGGCGTACGTAGTTCTTATGTAGGGGCCAATGAAAATTTGTAGTGGGTGAGTTGCTAACTCTGGAGCCAGAGAAGCTAGAAAGCTGAAATTTTAAGGGGATGTTTTCTCACAGTTGTAGTGGGTGGCCCCAGGCGTTTTAGACGCTAAAAGCAACTGCCCGGAAAAACAGTGCCATTAGCGACAAACAACCTGCTGGGAACTGTGCAAAAAACGCATCTTCGCATGGGCAGCCCGTGCGCTGGCCAATTATTTCTTTTTAAAAAAGTGAGGTTCTAGGTGTCGCGTTCAGGGCTAAATGTCCACCTTCGATGTACATCTTCTGGTGCCATACTTATCAATAATAACAGACCAATTTTCTCTGTTTGCATATTTCCAAGATTAACTCTAACAGAGCAAGAGGTAAAGCGAACCACGAGCCGGCATGCGTTGCGTTCCTCACATGCTCATTACTCATTATTGGCGACTTGCACTGCCGGCCAGACCAATCGTCAATCAACACACCTGGAACACATATATTCAATGAATCTGCACATCTCTACTCTGCTGGTCACTCGTTCATCCGATGACCCGCGTATAAATGTGTGATCGAAAGTTATACACTCGCCAACGATGCATCGTCGAGTGGACAGCGTCCACCCCATCCTACGGAGCGAGCAAAGGTACTCACGGCTATTCACGAAAGTAGGGCACTGTGCTCCAAAGTGACAACTCCATTTACAGTGGGAATGACCACCGCAACGGAGAGAAACAGGCAAGTTTCGACTGAACTCCTGACACACCACCGACTACCAGAGAAGACGCAACGCAGCCGTGCCCGGTAACTGCCGGGCCGCCAGCAGGCGTCAGTGGATCCATCCGGAAAGGAGGAGGGCGATGGGTCTCTCGGGGCACAGGCATCAGTGTTACAAAAGTTCGGGTTTAAAGCCAAAACTGAAGAAAACTCTCTTCCGCACCAAGCGTCGGCGCCCCAGGAAGCCGCCCTGGATCCTCCAATGCCAACAGATGGGCAGATGGTTGTGTGGACGTCACGTACACCTGTCCCATGTGGGTGTTGTCCACTCCCTCGTGCAGTGCAGGTGTTGGTGTTGCTGGGCGCACAGGTTATCCCCACCCCCCAAATTAACACTGAAATAATAGACCAACAGGATTGTACTGAAAAACAAGAATAATTGGACTGCTCAAATCGACTTCGGGTCATCCGACCGAACTGCCGGACGCACCAGTGACCGTTCGGACACAACAACAACAACAACTCAGCCTGGAGCCTTCTTACCCCAACCCACCAGGATGACACCACAGTGGTGTTTTTCGCTGAGCACCAGCAAAACATTTTGCGTTGTATTTGCTAAATAGCCCGTTTTGCCTGGCCCACCTTCATACATCTCTCCCTCCCCCTGGTGCACCCCCTTTGCACGTCACCGGTGCAGACACAACTGGCTCTGCCACTGTGTCCAGGTAAACCAACTGATTTCCAGTTCAGCGAAGGTGTGCTATCCCCTCCAACAGTCTGACCCACTCACATATTACCCTATGAACGACGGAGGAAGGGGGGAGGGGGATGGTAGTACAACCAGTTTGGTTGTGGCAAGCAAGTAACCAGGAGCACATATTCCATTTCGTGTTTTAAAGATACGAAAGATGTAGGGGAAACGAGGGCGGAGGAGGAGGGGGGCGCTGCTGAGGGCAGGTTTGTTCGTCCGAATTTTTACTGTTTCTCTGCCAGCTAGATTTCCCGGCAAAAACTTCGAACGGGCGAAGCAAAAACTCTCACCCTCTCGTACGCGAGGCCCAGACTTGCGTGAAGGTTGATACCGCATCCTGGGGTCACTTGGTCGGGGAAGTCACTGACAAAATTTTGGCGCCGGAGCTTTTTTGGGTGCCGATTTGAAATATCTTGACAGACAGACAGACAGACACACACACACCGGGGTCGTCACAAC